TATATATATATATATATTTCTTCTTTAGTTTCTGGGCAAACCTCATTGAACGTTGTGGTGTGTTCAGGGTCAAAGTAAAATAAAATAAATGAACCACGTGCACAAGGTCCTCGTGTCAATTTCTTACTTTTTATTACTGTTGCACCATTTATACAAGTACTTATAATTTTTAAACGCATCAGTTTACATATCTTTTTTTTTTTATTTGTCTGAATGAGCGTGTGGAAATAGCAGAAGTGGTGAGACATGGAATGGAAATATCAACTGCAGTTGCCTTGGATGCAGACTGAAAAATTATTATTTACTTTTTTTTTTCCACTTGACCAAAAAGACAGGACTACAGGTTCACCCAACCACAGACATGCAATTTACTGAGTCAAGAGAGGAAGAAGAACAGAACGATGTGACACACGGCCATCCTCAGGTGTTGGTTTCTGCTACGGTTTGACGAGTGCTGGAAGGAAGACGGCGTGTGTCCGATGCATGGGGAGGAAACGATGGCTGAGGTGACTCACAGGTGCCTGCATTTATGCAAAGGTGGACGAAGGAGCGTTTGGTAAGTCTGGAGGTCTGCTGGTACTTTACTGCGTTATTCTTCGAACACAGCAGAGCAAAGATGGAAGCAGGAGATTCTTTCCCTCGCGTTTGCTGACAAGATACAAGATAAACGGGTAAAAGACGTGAAAGTCTAGAACAGGGGTGCGCATCCTTTTTGATCAAAAGAGCCGTTTCTGCCTCTTCGCTCATTCAATAAAACGTCTGGAGCCACAAAACCTGCTACACCTGTGATTATCAACTGATGGCCCATGGGCCACTGAGTTTGTTGGAGGCGGGCTTTTCTGGCCAGTGGGTATGACATTATAAAACTAAAATTATATAATGAATTTTAACATTTATTGATATTTTTACATTTTAAGACAACAAAGACCATATCAAGTGAAGGAGGAAAATAATTATAGTTTACAGTGATTTTTATAAAAAAAATTAAAACGCTGAACTCTGCAGGCCTATGAGAGGAATAATAAGTATCAGGTGGTAGCTCGGTGGCCCGTGCTACGGTCCTGCAATCCTGAGGTTGCGGGTTTGAGCCCAAGTTGCATCAGGAAGGACATCTGGTGTAAAACAAATTGCCAAATCTTTCTTGCGAGTGGTGACCCCTGAAGAAGGGAGCAGCTGAAAGAAACTTGGTTACTTACGTCTTCAACAATTTCCTGTGGTGTCAATAAAGTTCTTATCTTATTTTACTTACAGTAATCGGGAAAAGATTTACTAAAATTTGACAATAAAACAGCCAAAACTAGCCTTTTCTTGTGTGGGTATAAAACCCAATGCAATAAAATTTCATTAAGTTTTAGGTCAAAGCTTCAAAAAGCTGCTGATGAGGGACTAAAGAGCCACATGTGGCCCCAGAGCCGCAGGTTGCAGACCCCTGGTCTAGAGTTTGTTGTCTAGATAAGAAGTGTGGAGAGTTTCATCACTCCAAGATGAAGATTTCATCTTTAAACCGCAGTTGTGTCAAAACAATTAAAAATCTCAAAATGCCAGTTCAGACGTGTGAAGTCCAACTTTAAATGTTTCTGCTGCCCAGTGTCTCGGCTCCAGAGAGGGCGGGGCGCTCTGTTGTTGTCTGCAGGGAAATGTTTGTTTCTGTGGGTTTTGTCTTTGCTGTGGCTCAAAGTCAGAGCACATTACTCCTAATCCAAGTTTTTCTTTGTTTTATTTTCCCAAATCTGCAGGAAGTGGAGTAAATAGAAAATTGTGAAGGAAACAGAAGAATAAGTGGGAGTAGGAGTGAACAGGAGAGAAAATGAGAGCTCGGAGTGTTTCAGTGCTTACACGCTGGATAAGAAGACTTTATGCTGCGAACTGACGTCCTCTCCAACAACACCGCACCCGTCTGCTTTTCATTCAGCAACAAATAAGACCTGGACAGGAGGAGTTTCTTGAATTTCTCTCATTCGGACTTACTTTTGTCACACTCTGAGCTGCACTGTCATAACCTTCTCGTGCACGGACAGATGCGTGAGCAGTGTGCAGAGAAAAATGGTTCAAAAAGTGAAAGTAATCCAATCACAAGCCTCTGTCTGTGCAACTCATCCAACTACGATGATGCAACAGACGTCTGGTTGTCTTGGATGATTGGCTGAACTGTCGTCATGCTTTTTACGCCGGTCTTTAAACTGGCTTCAGCTGAGGATGGATGTCTGCTGTGCACGGATTCATGCAGCCTAAAGAGGCCTAAATACTGGACTGGTGATGGGAACTCATCAGAAAATACTGCAGCAACGACGGCTGAAGTCAAACCACGCGTTCAGTGTTTCCGTTTTTAAGTGAACCCTGTTTGGTTGTGGAGCTACATTTTCCATCGTTGTTCTGCTCCTGTAGCACGTCCTCTAACAGACGGACCACCGTCCAACATGTCTGAACACTCAGTTAAGCACTGGAAGAGGCGGTTGGACCAGGAGTGTGTTTTGGAGTTTTTCCTTCGGCAGCCGATCAGGGAGCAAAGGATGCGTAAGGGCTGGTTTAGTCTACGATCTTTGTAAAGACACAACTGATGGTTTGTTATCAGACGTGTCCCCGTCCGAGCACAAGGCGTGATTTGAGGGCCTGTTTCATCCAGATAAGCTTCCAAAAACCCAAACGTTCTTTAACTTGCTCCTAATTTTAAAGCGGAGACCAGAGAACAGCTTCAAGCACTGTAAGAGCATCGTAAAGGTCTTTTCAGCAAGGCGTCGCAGGTTTTTTATGTATTACAAATGCTAAAAAACCACTAAGGGTTTCAGTACAAAAACTATATGTTTGTTTGAAAAAGATCCTACAATTGTTTAATTTGCAAAGCCAGCCATTTTTCAACCTTTGAGATGTCTTAGAAAGCCTCAGCAGTCTCGGTCCTCGCTGTAAAGTCCGTCTCACTCCAATGACAGGACGGGTTGGAGGAGAAACGACGCTCTGGCTGCACGGTCCAACTGAAAGGTGCGGGCTAAAGACACAAGAAGGGAGTTCTTCTCTTCTTGTGTCTTTTCAATCATGACACAAAGTCTGGATGTGCACAGAGCTGGGGGGGGGGGGGGGGGGGTGCAGGCCTGTGGGTTTGATGGGGTTCAGGTGAGACGTCTGGGTTTGATGAGTGAATGGATGAAGGTGAAGTGGTGGAGCAAATGGCCGACACAGACTCGTATCAAAGTTCAAATACTACAGCAGAAAAAGAGTAAAACGTAACAATAATAATAGCAATAATCATCAGCGGGAAACGTCTCCAGTCCTCCTCGTTCAACAAATCATCATCGTCATTATTACAATTATTATTATTATTGTTATCAGAATATTGGCGGGCTGGTAAATTTCATTTTCCCTCTTTTTAAAAATTTTCTTCGTTGTTGAGTTAGGTCATCGATTTCTTCATTTCCGAAAAGAAGCTGTCCATTAATCTTGAACTGCTACGGTTTGATCCTTGCTTGGTGCCTCCGTGGCGTTCGCCTCCTTGGCAGGAGGTTCAGCGGCTGGTGTTGAACTAGGTGCGGCGGCCTCCTTCGTGGGTGCGGGGGCCTCGGTGGGCTTGGGGTCGGGGGAGGTGGCGGGAGCCGCCTCGGCTTTGGCTGCTGGTGCCGGAGGGGCCTCAGTCTTTTTGGCGTCGGCCTCACCTTTGCTCTCTGCTGCCGGGGCGGGTGTCTTCGCCTCGGGCTCCTTCGCGGCAGGAGCGGACTCTTTGGCCGAGGTGGGGGCGGCTGGTTTCTCCTCGGCCTTGGCAGCCTCTGTTTTGGGCTCAGCGTTGGCGGCAGGTTTTTCGGACTCCTTCGCGGCAGAAGCTGCATTCTTTTCCTCCTCTTTCGGCGCTGCAGCGTCTGCCGCGGGGGCAGCCGTGTCATTAGCTACCTCCTTAGCATCGTTGGCCGCCTCATCTTTCTTGTCCTTTGGTGCTTCGCTCTCCTCAGCAGAGGCGCCTTCTGCTTTGGCATCCTTGTCTTTGGACTTGTCGTCGTTTACGCTGTATCCCTTCTTCTTTTTGCTCAGCTTGCCTCCCATTTTCAATCTCTGGCCTCTGAAACACAAAAAAGAGACAAACTTTACTGCAACACGAACTTTGAGTCAAGAAGAGTTCTTTTCATTTTGTCTCTTAAAGAGAACGTATCATTGAACTCGTTGTTTAAAAACTCACTCGACACCAGAAGAAACGATCACATTTTGATTTAAAACGTCCTTTTGTTGTCGTCTGTTTAAAATGCACCGACTTTATTTATTTTCCTCAGACCTGCCCGAGCTTTAACCTTGTCGGTGCTTCGCTGATGCTAACTTCAACCACAGCTAAACGTGTTGCAGAGGGAGTCGAGCGTCGTGGACCCACATTAGTTCTTAGAACTCTGCAGCGTCTCCTCAGATCCTGAGCAGATCCTGTCGAGTCTGAAACGTACAGAACCGAAGGGCTCCTGATCCTGTCAGCACCTCGACACAACAACCTGCAGATCCCGGCTCTCGCACTGAGCTGAAGGGTTTTCACAGATCAGTCTGTCGGCTTCAACAGGAGCTAAAGGCCCGTTCTGTTTGGGTTTAATCAGAACGTCTGGGCGACGAGACATTCATCCGCTCACACACGACTCGTTAACATTGATCTGTGAACTCAAAACTGTATTCATAAGAATGAAACTTTTCTTAATTTAAAAAGTGTGGATCAAGATCATTCACTGAAAAATGCACTTCAAGATAAAAAGAGATTTGAAAGATGATAAATCACAAACTGGAGTTTAAGACGCATTTTTTTTATTAGTATATCTCAGAACACGTCTTTAAACATTGAAACAACACCTGGGCTTGAACCTGCGGCCTCCGCAGCTCTGACCACCGAGCCACCACGGCCCACATGCACATGTTAGTGTTTCTGGTCATAACTGCTGTGCACGTCTGACGTGAACAACAGGAGTTCTGTTATTAGTAGCTCGGTGGCGCAGTGTGTAATCCTGAAGCCGCAGGTTTGAGTCCAGGTTTCATCAGTAACAGCAGCTGATGTGAAATAATTGCCTCGTGGTGACCCCGAAGCAGCGGACAGAACAAACTGTGAAATAAAAAACAGATAATACATTTTCAATCCCTGCTGATTTCCCTGAACTAACGTCAACTAAAGACTTTATGAGTGACGTGTTTGACGCCAGAGTTCAACGTGCTTCATGTCAAAACAAACCTGACCCATAAATGTTCTGCTGGTCGCTCACAGACCAGGACCATGGAACCGTGCCGGCAGGGCATCCTCTCCAAATGCTAATGAGCGTGTGGCCCCGGACTGAATGGCTCCTCTGAGCGTCCACCAGTCGGTGTCTGGATGAGCGGCCGCTCCTGCCGCAGCTTCACACGACCCACAATGCAGCGTTTCACTCCCAGCTTGTTGCTGCCGGGACAGTGACTCACCATCAGCTGAGGAACGACAGGACGCATGCTGGGCGTGTGGTGTGAGCGTTTATGGAGCCGGGGCAGGGCTGAGACCACCTGGAGGACAGGCCTCGTCTGAACAAACGCTCCACTGTGACCAGAGAACTGCAACCAACGTCCAGTTCTTCTGAGCACCAAACAAAACCAACTGCGTGCTAACGTGTTCCCCAACATGTGACACATGCTGCAGCTTGTGTTTGAAGCTGGACACGTGTGTTGACAACTTCAGGAGGAGAAAAGTTTTATCCTGGACTTTGCTCGTGAGTTGAGATGGAATGAAAAGGAAACAGAAAGACAGACCTGAACAGATCTTCTGGTCTGTTGCAGTGAAGAAGCAACGCTGCTCATCTACCAGCAGATCTAAGTTCCAACACTCATCATCGGTCAGAACCTTTAAACATCTGAAAAAACATGACGGCAAGTCCTTGAACGTTTGTCCAGACTGGCCCTGAGGGACCTGGTGAAGAGCTCAGAGAGGACATTGTGTTCCTCTTCATCAAATGGAGTCAGATGAGGAGGTTTGACATCTGGTGAGGACATCTTCTGGACACCTTCCATGGAAAGAGTTTCAGACATGTCCCTCTAGGAGGAGACCTCAGAGCAGACTCACAACATGATGGAGAACATCTCTGAGCCACGTTGTGAGCTGGAAGAAGCTGAGGAGACAAAAGTCTGGGACCTCTGCTTGAGCTGCGGCCCCCATGGATGGATGATGGATGGTTGGATGGTTGGATGATGGATGATGGTTGGATGATGATGGATGATGGTTGGATGATAGATGGATGGATGGGTGGATGGATGATGGTTGGATGATGGATGGATTATGGATGGATGGTTGGATGCTGGATGCTGGATGGTTGTATGATGGAT